TTACCATCAAGGCGATCAAGACGAGGATTTGAGAAGCGTTGATGACCGGCATTATGCGTACGCCTCGGAAATCTGTCTACCACACTTGTTGCCGGATCGTCGGCGAACGCTCTTCGCTTTCCTTGAGAACTTAGTTGAGTCTGCAAATGCCGATGATGCCAGCCGTTGAATTCTCCATCATACGGGAGGGGAGAAGCCTCACCAAACCCATAATAGGATTTTGGGAGAGTGCAAGGTGAGGTTTCCTCAATCAACCTGATCTTGAAGGCTACTTGTTGGTCTTCAACAAAAACAAACTTCGGCACCACAGCTCCGGCGGAAACAAGAAGGAGAACTCGTTCGCCTCTTGCTTGATCATCCGCTTCCACTCCTCTAAACCCATCGCAGAGGTCTCCAATAGCTACAAACAGTTTGTGACACCAGAGATGGAAGGGCAATCCGAACAGCACCACCCTACGTAACTTGTCACGATCAACCATGGCTGAGCAACCCACCGCGAAATCCCACTTGTCGATGTGTAAGGAAGCTTCACCCCATCTCTTCCTCCCCACATTCAAAACTCTGCAAGCTTCGGCCTCCGATGGTAGACGGAACAAGAACAGGCTGTCAGGTAAGGTTGAAACTTTTACTCCACACGAGATCTGCCAAGATATCGTCGCCCACTCCTTGATCCTTTTAGTGCACCCCACATCACGATCAAATCGACCAACCAGACAAGATTTCAATACGGATTCACATTCTGCAATGCTCTGATGATCAACCCTAAGGACCACATCTCTATCAATTGAACAACTTTTGATCTTCCCGTGAAGATTGAGACATGGTAGGGTCGCTACTTTGAGATACGAACGTAGCATGATCTGTCAAAACCAAAGATCCGCCTCCAAGAAAGAAGAGAAAAGAAAGAGAGAGAAAGAGAACGATAGATGCCGGAGTAGAAGACTCCGGCGTCAAAAGAGAAAAGAAAAGTTGAGAGGAAAGTCAAACATTAGTCAAAGAGTGTTAAACTTCAGATCCATAGCTACAGTATTTTCTATCTCTAACAGGAAGGGGAAAGAGAGAGAGAGAACCAATGGGCATTAGTTAGATGGTATGATCTTTCCTGTTAAGGTCAATATTGTGGGTATGTGCGCATCTGCTTTTTTTTTTTTTTTTCGGGGGGTGGATTCCACGCAGATAATAAAAGCAGTACATTTTGTAGCAAAAGACATCAGCTTTGTGAATTCTGCCGGAGTCAATGCCAGACAAGCAGTTGCTATTAGAAGTGGAGGCTTCAATGATGCATACTACAGGTGTTCCTTCGAAGGATACCAGGACACCTTGTATATGGCTTTGGGCAGAAGATTTTTCTATGAATGCAACATATATGGAACCGTAGACTTCATATTTGGTGACGCAGCCGTCATGTTTCAGAACTGCAACATGTATGGCAGAAATCCCGGCAATAAAGGAAAGCCAATTGTTATAGCAGCTGATTCGAGGGATAATGCGATGGGACAAACTGGATTAGTAATTCAGAATTGTACCATTACAGCGGCACCAAATTTTGGACCATCGAATTCTTCCAGAGCATTTCTTGGACGCCCATGGAGAGAGTATGCAAGAACGGTGGTGATGGAGTCTTTCCTAGGGGATATCATAAAACCTGTCGGCTGGTCACCGTGGGATAACAGCTCCAGATTGGATCATTTGTCCTATATTGAATATAACAACAGGGGTCCAGGAGCTGCAACCAGTGGCCAGGTAAAATGGCCAGCTTTTCAAATTATAATCAACTCTACCCAAATCCTACAATTTACTGCTAAAAACTTCATCAATGCAAGTGATTGGTTACCTTCAATTGGAATACCATTCATTCCGGGACTTATTTGAGGTTAAAACTAATGTAATTAAAATTATATGAATAATAAATGATGTGGAAAGAAAGGAAAAGTGAATTGTCCTACCAAATGTAACTGACTGACTGGTTTGAGGCTCTGTTAATTGCAACTGGTTTTTTTAACTTTGCTATGTTTTCTGTAACTGTTTTCAAATCTTTGGTCTGTTTCTTGCAACTGGTATTTTAACTTTACGCTGTTCATGCCTTCACTCGATCAGATTGATGATATCATACTTACCAATACCTATGTATACCTGTTTTAATTTTGTTAGATGCAAAGTAGATAGTTAGAGTACGAGTAGAACTAGCTATAATCACTTGTTTCTTAGACTAGCTAATATTAGGTTCCATTTAGAGGAGAATTAGGTGTGACAAAGATGTGTGACGCAAATCAAGTGGTATTATGTGTAAATATGTACTTTAATTAGACTTACGTAACTTTGATTGATAATTACAAACACATGAATGTTTGTAAAGTAATATATCTTGTTTTGATTAATGTGTAATTAATTGTACTTGTACATAATTATGTTATGATCTTTGTAATTATGTGCTCATTATTGATCAAAGTTTAAGTCTAGGATAACAATTGGCATCAATTAGGAGAGTTTAGGAATTACCAGGATTGATGATCTTAGTTAATCAATTGGTTGTGTGATTGTTTGCTTTTAGGTGTTTTTGTGTGAATTTTGATGATTACAAGTGTGTTGTTGATTGGGTTTAATTTTAGGAGAATTAGTAAGGAACATAGACTAAAAATTGGAATTTTAAAATGGGTTAAGACATCTACTCATCTTCCTCAGGATGTCTGCCTCTTCAGGAAATTGCAAGACGCTGAGAGCAGGTTTCTGGAATTCTATCCACTAGACGTCTACTATAGTAATAATTTCAAAATCAGATTTTGACTCCAGAGAATTAAATTCTTCACCATATAAATTTTTATTCAAATCTTCAATACTAAGATTTAAAAAGATAGGACTAGACTCTAGTAGGAGATGGATTAATTATTCCTTTAAAGGAAAAAGATTAATCTAGGATTCTATAAACGTTTGGACTTAGACCATGTATTAATTCACATTTAGACTGTGAATTGGTTCATCAAACTATGTAATGTGAATTTACATTATTACATATCATGGATTTTAGCCTTTTACCATTTGGTATCATATACTTAGGCTTTTAATATTTTATTATTGTCTTTGCATAAGATTACATGAACATGACTTAGTAACAAGCTAAGTTATTTATTGTGAATAGAAAGAGAAGTTAAATCAAAGACCAATGCTTAGTTGCTAGATTCATTTAGTGCTAAATGTATTCCATTTTATGTAGTACATATTATATCATGACTTGTTAATTGGTAGCTTATGATCAACAACAACAACCACAAAGCCTTTTCCCAATTATTTGGGGTTGGCTACATGAATCCCATGTTTCCATTCCGCTCTATTTAAGGCCATAGTCTCAGTCAATTCACATGTTATCATACCTTTCTTTACTAACTCTACCCAAGTTAACTTTGGAATTGGTACTTTATGAACACTTTGCACATTAGAGAGGTCGTTTATTGTTACTAGGTATTGGTGATTCCGCATTTGTGTTATGATTGACAATTTTATTTTTTATTTATTTATTATTATTATTTTTTTGTGTGTGGTAAATGTGTTATTTCCATTAATATAAATAAACATTCTGTACAATTATATCGATAATCTGCATTGTCTTCACCTTATGCCCTTTAAATGTTGCATTTGCACGTGCTTTTTCATTAGTCAAATATATTTTGTCATTAAGAGGTTAATAAACGTAATTTTAGCTTAGCTAAATGTATTAGAACACTAAGTTATTGAATAAAGGAATTTTAGCAAACTTGTATATAACTACTCGCTAAGGCATTGTGTTCTAACTTGTATATCTATACTCACAAAGGGATTGTGTTCAAACTTGATAATCTAAATTTCAGTCTTTTTGTATTTTTTAGATTATACTAGAGAGTATTTATTCTCAAGTGTTTGCATAAATCTCTCAATAGGTTTATAGTTGAACGTGAAACTTTTAATTGGTAAATTTCCTATAGTTTGCCAAAAAACTCAAATCCACCCCCTCTTCAGTCATTGTTTGGGCAATAGTGATATTCTAATCTGATTCTTACTTTTCATTGTGACATATAACTCTTTTTCATATAAGGTTCTTGGCAACTCTAATGGTAGTGACAGGAGGGGTGTTGAATTTGGAGTAGCACCACACGCACCATAAAGAATACGAATTTAAGTAGTTTCAGAAGAACCAAACCTGCTACTCAACAAAGGATGAAAGGAGTTACGCTCTTATGGGGTTAAAGAGGCTTTCCATATTAAACCACCTAGTTCATGCACCTCATCATGTATGCAGATGCTGGTACACATGCAAACACAAATGGACATGCACACATGTGCATGCACTCGCACACAAAGACATATGTGCACTCAACCACACATGCATTTGGATTAAAGAAATCATTTCATCATAAAGCATGAAAATAGAGGGAAAATGATCAACTAGCTGAGTTGTGGAATTAGACACACAATTAAGACAAATATTTATTGATTCAAATAATCAGATAGATCAAATTATTATGAAAGTAGGATTTCAAGCACAATAAAGATTTTATATGGCATAAAATAGCATGTAAATAGGATTTGCGAAATGAAATTCACATGCCTTGCGCATAAAACATGGAAATCATCAAAGGGGAAAAAAAAGAAGAAGTTTATATGGCATTGTAACAATATAGAATAGACAAATCGAAGAGTCAAATAAATACATTACCAACACAACTAATGAGCAAAAAAATACAATATATTTCATATCATGCAAATATTACATTAAAAGAAGGGAAAAGTACAACAAAAGAAGCCACAAACTGAAAGGTTAGAGATGCAAACTTTAATCAAATTTTAATAGAAGATGAGATGGTATCTCATGTATGCAGTTTGTGATCTCAAATTTTAATCAATCTAAAGTTCACAATATTAGTTTACGAGAGGAAGCAATCTATAGATACTGAAACTACATCTGATATATAATAAAGTACTCACAACATGCAATTATACAAAATAATAATAATAATTGAAATGCTAACCTTAAAGCTCGTTACCAATAATGTCGAAAACAACAGATATCTTCAACACCAATAGCAATCTACCAAGCAAGCTGTATGCACAAAACAAAGTAAAAATAAATTAGGAATTATTGTAAAAAAAATAAAATAATAAAATAAAATCTCCTTCACAAAAACATATAGATTGATACTTTAGTGTACAGTTTGAACATTTAGTTTAAAAAGTAACTCTTACTTTGTGATAAGCACATTTGACTTGACTAAAACATTATTGTAGGCAGAAAATTAAATACATGTCATGATAAGAAGAAAAAGATAAAATTAAGGCTGAGAGTGATGAGTGTTCGGGTTCTCTCTGAGATAGTTGACATTGATAAGATGGAGAATCAGGGTCTTTTGACGGGTCCTTTGAGACTTAGGAGGGTGGAGTGTCAAGCAGAGTTTGCTGAGATTGCTGTTATGGAGGAGATTTCATGGAGACAGAAATCTAGAGCTTTGTGGCTTAAAGAAGGTGACAATAACACTAAATTCTTTCATAGACTTGCTAATGCTCACAGAAGGGGAAACCACATTGGGAGGATTAGGGTGGATGGGGTGTTGATTAATAAAGAGGAGGAGATTAGTAAGAGCTTTTCTGAGTACTTTTCGTCTTTGTTCACTGAGTCAGCTGATTGGCGTCCTTTGCTTGATGGGCTTCATTTTGATTCTATTTCGGGAGAGGAGGGCTCTGTTTTGGAAGAGCCTTTTTCAGAAGAGGAAGTTCTCTCTGCTCTGAAGAGCTGTAATGGGGATAAAGCTCCTGGTCCGGATGGTTTTACTATGAGGTTCCTTTTGGAGTGTTGGGAGGTGGCTCGTGAAGAGCGATGGGTTCTTTTCATGCCTTCCATGCGCAGGGCTCTTTTGAGAAAAGTTTGAATGCAACTTTTATTGTTCCTATTCTGAAGAAGGGAGAGGCAATGGATGTTAGAGACTTCCGCCCTATTAGTTTGGTGGGATGTTTTTACAAGTTGATTGCGAAAGTCTTGGCCTCTAGGTTGAAGAAGGTGATGGATGGTGTCATTTCTGACTCTCAGAATGCTTTTGTGGGAGGTCGGCAGATCCTGGATTCTGTTCTTATTGCTAGTGAATGTGTTGATTCCCGTTTGAGCAGTGGTGTTCCGGGTGTTCTTTGTAAGCTAGATATTGAAAAGGCATACGATAATGTGAGCTGGAGTTTCCTTCTCTACTTGTTAGAGAGGATGGGATTCGGTGGGCAATGGAGGAGATGGATTCTTTTTTGCATCTCTAGCGCTCGTTTCTCAGTCCTTGTGAATGGAGCGCCGTCGGGTTTCGTCTGTAGCTCGAGGGGTTTGAGACAAGGGGATCCGCTTTCCCCTTTCCTGTTCCTTTTTGTGATGGAGGCTCTTAGCAGATTGCTAAAGAGGGCTGTGGATCTGGGTTTTTTGAGTGGCTTTCAGGTGGGTAGGAATGTTGCTAGTCAATTGGAGGTTTCTCATTTGATGTTTGCAGATGACACTATTGTGTTTTGTGATGCGGATGAGTCCCAGTTGAGGTATTTGAGAAGCATTCTGATTTGGTTTCAAGTTGTTTCTAGCCTTAAGGTTAATGTTGGTAAGAGTATTCTTGTGCCTGTTGGGGATGTTCCAGAGATTGAGGTGTTTGCTCACATCCTTGGTTGTTGCACTGGCTCTTTTCCCATTTCTTATTTAGGATTGTCTTTGGGTGCACCGTCGAGATGTGTGGGGAGCTGGGATCCGGTTGTGGACAGAGTTGAGAGGAGGTTGGTGGGTTGGAAAAAGTAGTACCTGTCCAAGGGGGGTCGGGTTACCCAGATTAAGAGCACCCTTTCTAGCCTGCCTACATACTTCTTGTCTCTGTTTCGGATTCCTTCCTCAGTGGCTAAGAGAATTGAAAGATTGCAGTGCAACTTCCTTGGGGGGGGGGAAGGTGAAGAGTTCAAATTTCACTTGGTTCGATGGGAACAAGTGTGCCGTCCAATTCGGTTTGGAGGCTTAGGGTTTCGGAGGTTGTTACCTTTTAATAAGGCTCTTCTTGGTAAATGGCTCTGGAGGTTTGGGATCGAGAGGCATTGGTTATGGAGGAAAGTTATTGCTTGCAAATTTGGGGAAAGCCGTGGTGGGTGGTGCTCCCTGGAGATGCGTGGTCCAAGGGGGGTGGGAGTTTGGCATTTTATTCGGAGGGGTTGGGATGATTTCTGCAAGCATGTTCGTTTTCGTATTGAAGATGGAAGGAGGATCAGTTTTTGGTTGGATCTCTGGTGTGGGGATCTCCCTCTTGCTCTCGCGTTCCCACGGCTCTACAGGATTGCTTCTCATCGACAGGCCATGGTTGTTGACTGTTATCATCTTGATAACGGGAGACTGTCTTAGGATGTTCGTTTCAAGAGGCATTTTCAGGATTGGGAGATCGAGGATGTTTCTCGTTTTCTGGAGTTGTTGTATAGCTAGGTGTTTTCTTTTGGGGGATCGGATCGGTGGTTCTGGATTCCTACCACGCATGGCCGTTTTGAGGTTAGGTCCTTTTTCAGATGCCTTTCGTTTGGTCATGGAGATCCCTTCCCTTGGAAGTCTATTTGGCGGTCCAAGGCTCCCCGCAAGGTCGCCTTTTTTGCTTGGACCTCTGTTCTGGGTAGGATTTTAACCCAGGATAATCTAAGGAAGAGGAATCAGGTGGTGGTCAATCACTGCTACAAGTGCTTGTGTCATGAAGAGTCTGTTGATCACCTCCTTTTAAATTGCAGCATGTGGGGTTCATTGGGCAATGCCTTTCACCTCTAGAGGGTTGATTGAGGCTTGGAGAGGCGTCTCTATTGGGGCTGGCATTAGGGATGCTTGAAGGGCTACGCCGCTTTGTATCTGGTGGTGTATTTGGCTTGAGAGAAATAGGAGATATTTTGACGGGAAAAAGAAGCCTGTTTCTATGCTTAAGTTCTCTGTTATTTCTACTCTTTTTTGTTGGGTTTCAGGGAGAGATTATAAATCTATGGAGGAAATTATTGTTTTTTTGGCCTCTCTGAAGGTCTAAGGCACCCTCTGGCCCTTGTGTTCCTTTTGTTTCTTTGGGTTTCGCTACCCTTTTTGAGCGTTTTTAATAAAATCTTACTTATCAAAAAAAAAAAAGTGTTCAGGGACCATCATCTTAAGGATATATATGATCAAAGGCTGCGTAATATATACAAAATAAATGAGACAGTAAAGCACTTCACACTCCTATGATGCATGAGAGATATCAAACATATTTGAGAAGTTGGTAACAAAAAAACCTATCATTTTTAGATCGTTTTGTTGCATATCTTCCCTACTCAGCATTCATAGCTTTGAGGTTCATATGTTTTCTAATCCCATCATGCAAAGCAGCATTTCTTTCCCTCCAAAAAACTGTAGGCATAACTTCATAAGACATTCCAGGAATTTAGATTTCATAGCAGAATCTAAGAACCATTTCACCAGCTGAAGCACATTAATAAGTTGAGGACCAGCAGCATTCGTGAGATGAAAACACTTCTCCCAAACTTCTCTAGCAAAAGAGCAGTCGCAAAACAAATGGTCCCCATTATCTATTATGATGTTAAGTTAATCTAGGATTGTAATATGTTAGTACCTGATGGTAATAGAACATTTAGAGAAAATTAATTCAAGTCTGTAATTAATTAATACCATGCTACAGTGCAAAATTTACAAAAATGGTGAAACTTTTAAATAATATTATGATTGTGATTGTTAAACGATAACAGATGTGTAAGAAGTTGCCTGATTTGTTTAAAGTATTAATGCTGAATGACTAAATTATGAATGTTTAAATAGTTATCTGCAACAATATTAGACTTTCTAAATTTGATTGGATATCCTTCATTACTGATGTTGCTGTGTTTTTAGATTTCACTCTACTTGTAGTCTATTGAATGACTCTGAATGGTTGTCTTTCTATAGTTTTTTTTTTTTTTTTTTTTTCCTGATAAGTAAGAAATAAATAAAAAGGCGTTCAATAAAGGAACGCATCCCTTATACAATAGTGGAATCGGGGCTAAGGCCCCAAAGAATCCAAGAAAATAATTAAATAATCGGAAGAGGAGCAAGAACTCCTCTTCACATAATTGAAGAGAGAACGAATATAATAAAGTTTCAGCGTCGCCGTAGACGACTCCTTCCCTTCAAACATTCTACAATTTCTCTCCTTCCAGTTGCACCACCAGACACAATGTCGGACAATTCTCCAGTAATCGCGTACACCCCTTCTCACACGACATCCTTTCCAAGCATGAATCAAATCCTTAGAAGAACGTGGCATTACCCAACGCATGCCAAACAACCCAAGAATAAGATTTCAACAGTCGCGCGCCACGGAGCAATGCATAAGGATATGATCAACTGACTCACCATTTTGCTTGCATAGGAAACACCAATTAACAAAGCAATTTCCCCTCTTCCTCAAATTATCAATTGTCAGTATCTTACCTCATACAGCGGTCCATACAAAGAATGCCACCCTATTTGGAGCCATAGAACGCCATATGGTCTTCCACGAAAAGCCCAGGCTATCAAAATTAGACAGACATAAGAACAAAGATCTTACTTCGAAACGACGGTGAGAAGATGGAATCCATGACAGGTCGTCACACCTCGACCAACTCCCTCCTGCCGATACAATTTATCCAGAAAGACACATACCTCGTCCAACTCCCAATCCTATAGTTATGAAGCTTGTGTGTGATGAATGTTAGTTACAGGACAGCTACCTGTTTGATTCTGTACTAGCATTAGACTTACTATAGTTGATAATTGATGTTGTTTGATAATATATTGTTGTGTTAACTACATCATTGATGTTTTACTTATCCAATCTACATCTCACTCCAAGAATCATATTTCTTAGCTTGTTGAGCTTATCCTTAGTGTAATACTACCTCAGTCCCATTTTAAACGTCGGTTTCGGGAATTGTGACTCACAAATTTGTGAGTCATAATTCCCAAAGTCGACGTTTAAAATGGGACAGAGGGAGTATCTTTTATTATCCAGCTTATTGTTAATGATTATATATTGCTGGTATACATTATTTGCTAAATGTTCTAAT